TGCCTTCTCCAACTGGTTCTGGAATTCAATAGTGACCAGAGGCCCTGAAGCCAGGCGAACATAGATGTCACGCGGAGTCGTGGTTGTGACTGTGGATGAGAAACAGTATTGCACCACTAACGCCATCAAGGCGGCGAAATCAGGGATCGATTGTGTGAGTGTATGGTATCGAAGGGCTACTTGAATGGATGGCAAGGCGTCGTTCGGCAGACCGGCATGTTGCGCCTGTCGAACATGCATGATTAGGGACGGGTTTCAAGATCGAATATCTAGATGCGAGGAGTTTCACTTACCAGAAGTGAAGCTGCGAGTACTCGCATACCCTCTTCCTCCACATTAACTTTACATGCGCCATAGTCCAATTCCAACAGAGTTGAGAATAGTTTCTCGACCCAAGTGAAGATTTCCCTTTCTGATTCGGTGGCATTGGTTGACGTTGAGCCTCCTCTCGCTGGCTTTCCAGATCTGTCCGTAGCCTTCTTCCCTTCGCTGAGGAGCACTCGGAATCCAGTCGCCGACAACCAACCTGAAGCAACACCGACAGCTTCGGTCACCAACTGCCTCCAGGCCTCATCACCTTCGAAATACCCTCCCCACTGTTTCACCACTGTCCACAGGGCGTACCGCGTCTTTGAGATCTCGAGCATGATGTCTGCCTGAAATACCGTTGTGCTGGCCGCGCCGCCTTTCCCTCCCTCAACAGATGACTGTAAGTTCGTCCATACCTCGTCAAGGCACTGTGAGATGACCTTCACATATCCTCGAACGGCTTCACGGACCTTGTCACCTACATACACGTCCGGTGGGATCTTGCTGCCAATCTTGGATCTGCCAGCTCCCGATGACGAAGGAGGCGGGAAGATTGAATATCGATTGGATTGTACGGCGTTAACGTACTCTTGCGAGAGCGCGGGAACGAACGAAAGTGTTGCAAGCAGGGTCTGCGGGTCGATAGTCTTATCTGCCTGAGTAGGAAGTACTAGTTCTCGGATGATTGTCTCGGAGGGATCTTGCATACTTTCGGTCGAGGAAGCCTGGCTGCTTTGAGTTTGTGGCTGAAGGATGGCGAGTGGCCAGAAGAGCGGACCTACGAGCATCTGCAGCGACGCTTGTATCAATGGCAAAGAATGGACGACTTTGAGAAATGTCGGCACAAGAGGCTTGATTATGTTGAGCGTAATCTATGAGTTGCAAAGTCAGCATGAAAGACGTTGATGCGACGTGCACGTAATAAGAGTGCTAACCTTTCGTCGCGTTTGACTGATTGCTAGACTAGCATTCGTCTCGAGCACAACCAACTGCGTGATTTTCAGAAGGCCTTGAGAGTGCTCCGCATCGATGTCAGATGACGAGGTTGTTGGCTGAGCCTTTCCTGCGGCATTGCTCTGCGCATCTACGAGATACGAGCAGAGAGCGAGCAGTCCACCCAGCGTCTCCAGCCAGCTTTCCGCCCTCACCAAGACACCGCTCATCGTTTCATCGACCACTTTGGACGCTCCATCTTTACTCGAAGACGAAACATCGTAGCTGAACAGGACGTTGAAAGTCTGGGACGCAGAAAATAGAAGCTCTTCCGTTGCGAACTCTGGCGACAAGCGTAACGAGAGAAGGAATGCTGTAAGGAACTGGTGGGATTGGGTCGTTGAGATGATAGCACTGCTCGAAGATGGTGTATCCTGGATTATCGTTCGTAACAGGTCGTGATACGACGAGTTGAGCAGGGAGTTCCTGGCACTGTTATCATAGTAAGGATGTAAGTCGATTACATCTTCGAGGCCTGCGCTGCCGCGAGCTTACCCTTTCGTGCCCTTGGTCCTGATCCAGCTTTCCAATAGCCATTCCCTGACAATATCACCTACTCGTCCGCCTATCCCATGCCCAATCTGCTCCTTCTGTTTCCATGCTTGACTAGCGATTTCGATCTTATGCGGCCAATCTGGTTGAGGAGGATCGTGCGGAGACTTGAGAGCTTTGATAAGCGTTGTTGCGGACGCCAAATATGGCGCTTGGACAGCGCTGACTGATACCATTTTCGCTGATTCTCGTAAGAAACCTTGGGTTGACGAGTGAGAAGGCAGCTCCTAAAGTACAAGGCATTGAAGCTGGGATTGATAGATATCACAAGAAGACTGCTCTGGGTCTTCGATCACTCATAATTTTGGTGAAACTCGCTGCGGAATCAAACTTGGACACAGTCTCGGTCTCGGTCGCCATACATATTATGCTCAATGCTCAGTGATGCTCAGAGGTGGGTATGTTACATGAATGATAAGAGAAACTGCGTAAAGAAGGGGTCATGGCGAGCACATTCGCTTTTTCTATATCTTTTCATTCCATTACCACATCGTCACATCGTTGCGACGATGTCGATGATGCTTTCTTACAAGCCTTTTGGCAGGAGTTTTTCGCTGGCATGCCGAAAACTATCAATGTCAACATCGTTTGCAGAGAGGATCAGTGATCAAGGCGCTGGCCGAATGACCACGCGTGAGCCGCAACCTCATTCCTGCGGAGGTACTCACGTCATTGTTGCATTGCTCGTGGGCAGTCATAGAAGCCGTGTGGTCTGTCAACTTTGCAGCGGCCTTGAAGCATTCGGTCTAGATCTCCTTGTGTGAGTCAAAATCCGATTACATCAAAAACTGGTAAGTTTGGGAACTCACAACAATGCTAGTGCAATCGTTGCCCGAGGCTTCGCTGGTAGCCAAAGTACCGCTTGCTTGGGATCCGGAAGGAGGCGCAGCAGGAGCTGCTAGTGAGGGTAGTATGATGACAGCTGCAGAGCTGCCGACTGGTGCATCCGATTCAACCTTGTTAGCCGACTCTATGTAAGTCCCGACCGATGCACCCAAGATACGTCCAACCACCGTTTCTGTTCTCCATGAACACGTGGATGGCACTATCAGTGGCGTATCGTCAAACTCTTCTGCTCCATTTCCCCCACTGTCTCCAGCAATGGAGTCGGACTTGTCATACACGGGGACACCAGGTACTCTGAACAGTCCCCAGTCGTAGCAAACTGGATTGTCGACCATCTTAGGGAATTGGGTCACGTCATTGCGGTGCTCGGTGTACATGGCCGGAATTTTCCTGCGATGGTAAGAAGGTAAGCTTCTTTGCAAACGTAACAATTGCTCATACACACATGGTGAGATCGGGAAGGGACCTCCCGTCACTGTCGAGATCAATCTCAAAGGCGCTGACATAGTACTGAGGTCCGTCGACCGAATGCATGGCGATGAGCGTTTGACTGAGCAAATACTCTCCGCGGGGGAGATTGGTCGGCAATGTGAATTTGGTGTCGATACCCAGGGTCCCCTTGGGCACTTCAAGGGGCCATTTCTTGGTTTGTGGGTTGTAATTTTCCTGTGAAATCTTAAACCAATCCAGGCTCGCTCCTTTTTTTCCCTTACAGGATCCACCACAACTTGCCATCATGTTGAGAATCGGTCCAATGTGTCCTGACTATGGAAAACACAGCCGGGTCATTAGCATCTGTCGTTTGCTTCTCACCAATGAGATTGAACGTACCGGCCAGTTCAGCCAGTGGATCTACGAATGAGCGAGGTAAGTCGTCAATATCCCAATTTCAGCGGCCTGAGTCTCACCTTCACGAGATCTCCCTTTTTGGCTGGTACAGCCTTGTTCACGATGTTGGGGAATGTCGCTGGGAATCCCTCATCGGGCCCTCCAGTCGCCAATCTCTCGTCGAGGTCGGTGAACAAGGGAGTGTTTACCCATTCTGACGGCAAAGCGTTACTCTCAGATTCCAACATCCGGTTACCCGACGCGAAAACTCACCTTCAGATTCGCGGGCTGTGTTTCTGAGAGGTGTCGCGCATTCCTTGTCCCCAAGGCCGCTATAGTGTGGACCACCACAAGTACCGTGGTCAACCTGAGGCAGAGATTTGGGGGATTTTGTTACTTTGTACGCCACAGGTAATTGCGAAAGAGCCAAGATTTACGTACTCCAGCTATATTGATATTCGATACGTAACCATGCCCTTCAACCATGACACTTCCGCACAGAGCGACCACACCAGCGAAATAGCTGAACGCGGAGTGTAACCGCATACCTTAACTTTGTAATCTGGAAAGTCACGAAGGCGTAATGTAGATACTAGGACGAATCTTGCGGAAGACCGAGGAGCTGGGATTTCGTATCAGGTTCGTTGTCCTAGCCAGTAGGATATTGCTTGCTATCGAACTCCGTAAGACAGTATAGATGATGAACGTCGAGCGCAACAAGACAGTCCCGCAGTCATCGGCTATCCGTCTTCTCTTATACTCCGACACTGAGGTATTCTTTCGTCTGTACGATACCTTCCCCTGAAAATGGCCTTTATGTCTTGGCTACAAAGGGGTATCACGACCTCCGTTGAATCACGTACCTTAACGGGTTATATCTCAAGGGAATGGCGTATTTCATGCCCAAGCGTTTGTTTCTGTAAAGTAAAGATGCGACCAGGAGGCAAAACCATAGGATGCTGCCCAGCTCTCCTTTCTTTGAGGCGTATTATCTCTGAGATCTGCGGCGATCGTTGCCCTGAATCAAGCAGGGAAGACGAAGATAGGTCAGAGTGCACCAACTCAGTCGCACTATGCATTTCTTGCCCACCGACGTTTCACAACTCGTTTTACCCCTGCGGAGCGAAGCCGCTTGTGATGAGAACTCAATAGCAGCGCACATCGTGTCCTCCATTCCGTTCTCACCTCTTGTGGTTTCGTGCTGACGGCCTCGACGGCAATCTCTTCAGGTATGTCCCTTTTGGTTCCCAAACTGAGTGCCCATCATCCTCCTTCGGGAGTCCACTGGTCGAGCATGAGTTGATCTGGTAACACCGACTGTCCACCCATTTCCTCTCCCGTTACAGCTTCCGTTACCAGCTCCGACATCTGGCAAGGCTGTCCTACCTCTCGACTCTCGAGCGCCTCCCACTGGTGAACAGGGTAGTAAAAAAGGGCGAAACCACAACAAAAAACGAAGCAAAAGATTTGGTTGGAGAAACGGGGGATTGAACCCCGGTCCTTCGAGATGTTACAATGACGCTTGAAACGGTTATGCAAACTCGACGCGCTACCACTGCGCCATTTCCCCTGTTGATGTTGGGGATGTCTCTTCTCCAATATATTCGTCATATCCCCGTCGTTGCCCTCATTCTTCATTCCCCCACCGACGAGAGGTGTTGTCCAGCTGATCGCTATAGCTGCACCAATGCTGAGCAAATACCACTGCCCCATGACCCCGTATCTATCGGTGCCTGAATCGCGAAATGGGTTTATAGATTGTTTTTCGGGACTCGAAGCAAGGGCGGCCCAGGGGATATCACTACCTTCGGATCCGGTTGGGCGTACTTGTTCTTAACGTTGGATCGTCTGACGCAATGAACGATTGCCATCCCCGTCTGGGGGCTTCCTACAGCTGACCCTACGGTGCTGATTGAGGGCGGGACTGAGCTCGTTAATTTTTGTGGTTCTCAATTACTCAGTCGCATCGGGTAGTCTTCCAAAACCTACGGAAACAAAGCAGGACTGCGATAGCAGTTATGTGTTTCCCACTGTCATGATCACTGCAAGGACGTTGTTATTCTGGTCAAAATACCTCTATCGGTGGTGTCTCCCTGGTTGCCGCCGTCTCCTCCTCGCCCGGACACTCGTGCTTTTACGGAGCGTTGTTCAGATTGCAGGAGGAGTTGGGAGACAGTAGGCGGTGACGAAGACGTTGGAGGATGAGACCGAGATTCAACACTGACACAGCACTGCGTCCATACACGGCGTCCCAAAGCTAAGGGTAATAAACCATGTTGGACGACTTGATAATGCCGTGCCGCATCCAGTTTTATTTCCCATATCGACTTCACACATTCGCCCTTATTCAGTCCCCTTTCAAATTCCAATACAATAATCCATTATGCCTTCTCGAAAGTTTATGACACGCCTTACAGCTTGGCGGTAAGCTTTCTGCTTTGGAGGTATTGCGTCGACATGGCGGCAACGCGCTCCGCGATCCCCCATGACGATTGATAGCTGTACAAAACAGCTGCGTGTAAGCCTACCGAATGAAGGCTAGTATGGCGAGAAAAGACTCACCCAGCGCCTCCTACACCATATGCATGAATAACGCCGACACTGGCATCCTTGCCCCATTTCGCCCCAGCTCGAGGGTGCAGCACCTTCCTACCCCCATCCATCTTCCTTGTTTCCAGCTCAACTCGAGGCCCACCAGTCCTTCCCGGTCGAAGACCGACGTTATGGCTAATTACTTCGATATCCTGCCATGACTTGCCGTCAGGTCCTGCCAAAGCAGGGCAGAGTCGGTAACATTCTTGCAGGATTTCTCGGGCTCGTTGGAGGTCGGGTTGAGTGGAGTAGTCGTTTACTAGGTAGGTACCACCCAGGATGACCTGGTCGCCCGGACCGGGTCGAGGAATGATGTAGGTTGGCTGTTTGGCTATGCCTGCAAAGGTTGGTGTTCTGTGAGAATCGTTGCAGTGATTTAATGTGTGTAAACAGCTTACCGACTGCAGCGTTGGGCTTTGACTCGGAATTCATGTAGCAGGTTTTGACACCAGGAGCTTTCACGAGGACAGTTTGACCTTTGACGGGGTGTACGGCTGCAAAGTGGATACATCAGTCCCCGCGCGTAGTACACCACCGCTTCTACCACGAACCTGCATCTTCCACTCCAACCAGACTTCGAGCCCCCAGTGCCGAACAGTTGATAACCAAGTCAACCGTCTTTCCTTGCTCCCGGCTCAATCCCAACGCATGCAAATCGTACGCTTCGTCCAAAGCCGATAAACGATGTCGCACCATTGGAATACCTCGTTTCTTGCACTCCTCTGACAACCACGCCAGGTAGTTGGGAGCGTTGGTAATGAATGACCTGAAAGCGATTCCCTTGCTGAAATTGCCTGGGATGGCCAGACCCTTCTTGTTGCTCTTCTTGTTATGCAACACGGTAAATTCCGGCAAGAGATCCTTGTACCACGGTGTCTCTCCTCCCGGCTTTTCCTCCCATACATCGTAGAATGGGATTTCGGACACGAGGTCCGGATGTTCTTTGGCAATTTTGGCGAGCCGTCCGAAGGTGACACGGTCAAAGTCTTGCTCGATAGGATTGTCGCCAGCGAAAGAGTACCAGTTGCAGCCCTACAGGTGCACAAAAGGTTCAGCACTCGTTCCATACTCAGAAGTGTAAGCGACTTCATGCTACCTACAGCCCATGGACTAGCGAATCCCACGGAATGGATGTCTGTTGGAAAGTCCTTGGCCACAATGCCGACTTTTATTCCCTTGCTCTCCAGCTCGAGTGCGACGGACAAGCCGATGACTAGAAGAGATGGTGGATGGGGTCTCAGCACAAGATAGGATTGAACACACCTCGCCAATATTACCTACCCCCAGCGCCAAGAACCACGACGTCCAGTGAGTGGTCAGGAATTTGTGTAGCGTTCGCCATGTTGTCGATACAGATGCGAGGTATTGGGCTGGATACTTGATGTTGAAGAATTGTTTGCGAGACGATATTTAGAAAGCAGGCCTCCAACCTTTTTCTCACCGGACTTGATTGGTTGACCCGGGTGTCTTGTCGTGCCGCTGTCTTCCTCTCGTTTGTCCTTCAAACCCGTCGATAAGCCGAACAATGCATACCCGGTTGAAGGGATTGGACGATTGAACGATTGAACGAGGTGCCCCGGGAAACGGGACATAATGCACTTTGTCCGTCTGTCTTGGCTCGGCCGTAATGACGACAGTGCAATCGACCACCTGCGTAGCCGTAGCACCTGCGTTCGTCGTCTTCACACCTCAAAAGTTGAAGCAATTTTCAGGTATCGTCAACGCCATGTGCTACCTCTTCAAAGTCTTTGCTCCGGACACCCCATCTGCCCGCATTCACCCGTACAATGTCGTCGACCACTACCGTCCAAAAAGCTGTCAACCTCGAGAAGCAGGCTGAACAGGAAATCACGGAACTCGCGAGAGAAAATGGCAAGTCCTTTTCCTCGAGGCTATTTGGACCTCATCTAATCTTTCCTTCTGCTCCTACGTAGCCGACACCACGGACTCCAACCTTCGTTACAGTACGCGCTCTTTGCTCGGCCATCACGCAGTGAACAGGAACTAAACACTCTTCCCTTCATTCGCGCAGTGGCATACGCCAACCGTCTGCGAACGGCAATCCGAGCCGCGAGTCGGTACACGGCATACACCTCGGACATTGGAGAGGCTTTCCGACCCGTCGTCGCACCTTGGGTTGTAAAAGGTGCCTACGGTGTTTCATGGATGTATCTGATTGGTGATGTCTCGTATGAGACGTACAAGGCAAAGGTTCAAGGCCCATCACCGCTGGATTTGGCTACTGGTCTGTCGGAGAACTCGCGGTTGGGGATGGTAGCTGCGAAGCGAAGCATGTGAGTGAAGGCTGCGGGACGTCTCTAGCGTTTCTCTCGTCGTGAGCGCTGACTTGCTTTGCGGTCTATAGTTTCCAGGGTGTGGCTTCAATGGCATTACCAGCATTTACCATCCATACCGCAGTCAGACAAGCTACCAAGGCGTTCAGGAACGCTAGCTCACCGAGAGTGAAGGCATGGGGTCCTACAGTAACAGGTTTAGCGGTACGCATAATCCCTTCAAGGCATCCTATACACATCAACTGATAATTCCACATTTGGTCATTTTTCTTGACAGATCGTTCCCTTCCTCCCCTACTTGTTCGATCACCCAGTTGAGACCGCCGTAGACTACTTCTTTGAAAAAGTCGAACAAAAACTTGTCGAAAACCATGCAGGCCCGGCTGCTGCCGTCCAGGCCGTATCGGATGAGAAGAGGGACCTATAGACATATAGAGATGTTACCGCATAGGATAGGGAATTGTGCACATCATATATATGCGGCTGTTACTTGCCTTCTCGTTCGCTGACTTTGAGTCTCAGCCAGTCCTGTTCGTCCCGTTCTACCGCTTCTCTCGTGGGCGGAAAGCAAAGCTACACGCATATACGCATATACGCGATGAATCTGTAATAGTCTCCTTGCCGGTCGCTCTTGCCAAAGAAGAGCCATGTCTTCACTATCGGTTGTTGATAGATGATAGAGCCAACATACTGGAAGGCGGAACGGAAGGCACATATTCCGGTTACCAGCTTACGTCATATCGTTTGTAACAAGAATTCAGGATATCGATCCCGATGTCGTTCACGCATTCCATGCGAGACTCGTTAGAGTAAGTAGGTTCAGTCGTTCGAACGCGGCGACACACCTACTTGCACTTGACCGGCGTACAATAAAACATCTGCAAGCATGACATCGTTCATCCTGCGTTCGGTGCAGGACCGACCGCCATCGTACCCGCCACGAGACAACACATGCACCTTTTGCCGGATCATCTCCAAGCCGAGCGAAGCGTTTGTCGTGTACGAGGATGAGAATTGTATGGCGTTCCTCGGTGAGCGATAAAAGACAGAAATTCGCAGTCGTTGATGATATGCTCAGATATCCGAACCTTGTTGCAGATATCTACCCCCTGAGACAGGGACATACGCTCCTGATTCCAAAGCAGCATTATGCGCGGTTGGCAGACTTGCCAGCAGAATTGGGAGAAGCCATGGGGAAAGCACTGCCACGAATCACCAAGGCTATCAACGAAGGTGAGCTATGGCCTGGGGTACTTGGTATCAGTGGGTTTGCTGATCGCCCCTATCGACCGCGTAGCGACGGGGAACCCCGATCTGAACGTTGTCTGTAATCAAGGTGAATGTTTTTGCATGCGTGGCGTCAGCTGGAATGCAGACTAAATTCCACTCCGTTAAAGGTTACGCGCAGGCGGTGCATCATGTAAGTCTACGCTTTGATAGGCGCTTCCAAATCTGACCACAGGCTCATTCACAGTCCATTCGATTCTGCAGGTACATTGGCATCTCGTCCCGGCACCCATCTTTGACCCGCCGAATAGCTCGACAATGTCTGTTGCAAGCAAGCTATCTAAAACCTCCCCGAACAAGTCTCATCAAAGCGGCGGGAAGAAGGATACGGGTGCGCACACCCATCAGTACATGCTTCGAGGAGAGATGGCGAATCGCGATTTCCTGGACGACGATG